TAAAGATCTTACATAATGTATAACAACATATGCAATGCATTAGTTTGTATAATATGCTATGCAAGAAGCGTTATTGTTCTTACATATATAGATTATTGCGATGAATATTACTAAGGCCTCGGTGGTCTAATAGCTTAGGATATTCATACGAAATACAAGAGTTCAAGTCCCGGTCGAGATAATATTTTTCGCAATAAATTTATTTAAAGTTTTTCAGCGCATTAACACCTTATAAGATTGAGAATTTGCTTGTCAATTTAATTTAACTTGTGATATTATTGCAGTAGTTTTGCATTTAAATCTGGATAAAGTCTGGAAAAATTTCGGCGCGCAATTTGAATAACTACAAAAATATGATATATATGCATGTATACATATATAGGATATAGCATATAATTCACTGTGAATTATTTAGGCATTTAGTAGATCTAGCTTTGACTAGGCTTGAATATGCTTATACTTAATATATGCTATATCATGCTTGGCTATCTGGGATGATATTTTGTGGAAACTGCAAGTGTGATTTTTTTATTAGTGATTATATATAAATGCTTATGTATATAACATGATTAATTAATCAAAATAGTTAGCGATATAATTACTATTTTTGAGAAATACTTTAAGTTTATTTGAACAAATTTTGTAATCTGTAAATAGATTGCAAAACTCTTAATAATTTTAAATATTCCAGAAATGATATTTAAATATACGTTTAATTGATACGTAAACAATATTCAAATTTATTACAAATTTATTACATCGACATAATAAATTCAAATATTATTTAAGTATCAATTAAGTATATATTTAAATATCATTTTTGTAGTACTAGAAATGGCAACCTTTGATGATATTTCAAAAAGATTGCTGATTCTTTCTATGACATTTCATCAAGATTTCATATGCAAAAATCGCGGACATTTTGCTATTTCAGAACTGTCTCAGAAATGTTGCAAATATATTTCGCATTTTTATAAAATATTTCACTTTTCACTTTTAAAATATTTCTGAGATATTTCTGAAAACTTTCATATGCTTTCGAAAACTGCTGTATGGGTAATATTATTCAAACATTGGAGACAAGGAGATACTGATTGCTTTGTATGGAAAGGCTATAAATCAAGGAATTCAAGCGAATAATCGTCTCTATATTTGCAGGAAAATCCTGAAAATAAAAAAACTATTCCGAACAATCCCATTAAATTTTCCATACAAAATTATTATATTGGTGACTCCCCCAGCGCGCCTAGGGGTTGTAAGTGGAATTAGCATAAATCAGATAGCGAAAGACAAATAACTTTATCTGTAACAGTCCATCAAAATTAGTAAATAATGTGTTGCAATAATGGTCGCAAAAATGTGTTATTACTTTTTGTTATGTGTAATGGTTCTGTTCATGTTATATGAAATCTCCAAATATTTGTGCACTTAAAATGAGATAGATATACATTTGGCATTGAAAAGAGAGAAAGCGAAGATGCTGAGTGCAAAAAGTGCAAGCTACGTAAAGCCAATGTATAAAACTTACAGTAATCCGAAAGTGCATTTTCATTACTTCCCCAAGGAGCCTAATTTAAAAAAAAAAGTGAGAAATTGTTTTAAAAATGGGCAAATCAACTTTGCAATACATGCGCGTTTGTTCAAAGCATTTTAAGACTACTTTTCAGAAAGCAAATTTAAAAAATTAGTAATAAAAACTGTCTGTTACACATCTGCTGATATTCAGACATCAATATTTACACATCTGCTGATATTCTTTTAAAATATTTTTATTTGAATAGTAATATACGAAAATATCTTCGCATGTTCTTCCAAGTTGTTATATTACTTTCCATAGGCTGCTTTTTAAACTTCTAATTGATTTTAATTTAGAGTTAAAGAGGCACAAGTTGTTTCCAACGTCTGTACCTTTTCAAAATATTCCACGCACGCACGCACGCACAGCAGTTTTGAAACTAAAATGACATCACCTAAAAAACGCCAAATAAAAGCTAGATTATATCAAGCTAAATTGTGGGCTAAAAAGCAAAGGTTTGTATTCATTTACTTATCTTACAAGGAACTTGCAGCCATACATCGATATTGTAAGTTTTTTTTAATTGATAAAGTATTTTCTAAAATGTATCCCTGTTGCTTCATAAGTAAGTGTAACAATCGAATTCAGAAATACAGACTCACTAATGTCAGTGCCTATTTAAACTTTTTTCATAATTCAAAAAGTTCTTATTAAAAAAGTATTTGTATTCATTATTTTAAAAACATCTCGATATCGATTACAAAAATATAATTAAGCAATAAAAAAATGGGAATTTATAATTACGAAATTTTAAATAATCTTGATCTGACCTAAGAACATTTTTTTAAAGTCAGCCAAGGTTATCATCTTTTTTTTCTCTAAGATGCTATAATAAATCATTAGTCATAAATCAAAAGTTAAAAACTGGAAATTGACCAATTACAGTTACGTTAATTTTTAACTTCTAATTTATGATTAATGGTTTATTGTAGAAGGTCCATGATAGCTAAGCAATTTTTATTTGAAACATTTTTGTCTTAAACTTAAGAATTTTCGGGATTTTCGAGATATTCTAATGAATAGTGCACTATGGCTATCTTTTTATTATCTTTTTTCCAATGGAAATGACATCCACTATTTGAAACTTCTTCACCGTCCCGCATGGATTTTACAAAGCCTTCTGTTGCTTTTACTGCATTTATTATGGATATTTTAAAAATAAATGTAAAAAGTCGTTCAACTTGATATAAAATAATTTACCGCTTTAGTTTACTATTTTACGCTAATTCCACATCAACACTAAGAGCGCTCAGGAAATCTTTGCATCGCCAGTATTATATAATTACATGATTGTATGATATACAATGTATAATTTATTTATACTTGTATTATTATGTAATTGTATAATCATATAACTCTCTATACGATCTGATAAAAAAATAAGCAAACTTTTCAAAATATTCGGCAACAGAACGTCCTAGCAACGTGCGATTTGCAGCACTACAATCGTTATAATCTTCTGAATAACTGGCTTTTTTAAAATTGTTTACATCTCGTTTACTTTTAAAGTTATTGCTATTTGAATGCAATGTGTTTTAGTGTTTATGGCAATTTTCGCCTCGAACTGAATTTTTATTTTGAGAACTGATTTTAATTTTGAGGAAAGAAAAAGTCGCAGAAAACAAGAGAAGAAAAATCATCTGATTTTTGGCACAAAACTTGCAAATTGACAAGACTAAGTGGGCAGGCGCATTGTCATGATGAAGAAATCATGAGTTGTCTTGCCACAACTGTGATTTCTTTTTGCGAATTTTTTCGCGCAATCTTTTCAAAATGTCATCGTAGTACTGACGGTTGATTGTTTGACCTTGAGGTAAAAATTGCAAAAATTCATCTCGAGGCGAAAATCATCACAAACACTAAAACACGTTGCACTCAAAGCAATAACTCTGAATCTAAATAAGATGTAAACAATTTTAAAAAAGTTACTCGGTCAGTTACTCGGAAGATTATAATGATTATAGTGCTGTAAACCGCACGTCGCTAGGACGCTGCGTTGCCGAGTTCAAAAAATTCGTTTATTTTTTTATCAGATCGTATAATACATAATTTTATCATGCATTATAATATTATACATTAGTTTATTATGACATCTTATATTAATTTTTAAAGCATTCAAAATATTAATAAATTTATTCAACAAAATTGTCTATTTTACTTACCTTTTTTATATTTACCATGATCTTGCAGCATCAAATTGATATTTTAAGTATTTTTTGCATCACACAAGATATATTTCTTGATTTCACCTTGTATACTTCCGATTCCATATTTTGACATCTGTCATAATCGCTTATCAATAATTATTGAATTTAGAGGCCTTTCCTCCGATCTTGATAAAATTAATCTCATTCGATGCGTTCTTGCATAAAATAAACGAATCTGGCAAAAAAAATATCGCTCTGTCCTATGAACCAAGATATTAATTATTAAAATTGACAAATATTCGCGTTAGGAAATGTCACATCAGTGATATAGAGGGACATAAGACTATACAAGTGAAAATTATTTGTTTTGATTACACAAATTTTCGGTTTTAAAAACAAATTTTCTGCTTTAAAAAATTTCTTTATTTAAAAAGAAATGGTAATTATTTAAAATATGGTTCCCCCTTAGAATCTAAATAAAAATGTACTCATTCAACGCGTTTTCACTTAAAACGAAAGATTTTGACAAAAAAACGCGGCAGTCGGTGAATCGAGTTATTAAGCTTTAAAATTCGAGATTTTAGAGGTTAAGATAAGTTCCGACTCGATACAACTCTATGTGTTTTGCTTTAATTACACAAATTCACTGCTTTAAAAATTCTGTTTTAAACACACAAATTCTTTGCATTAGTTGTGAATTTGTTTTTAAATTAGTGAATTAGTATCTTTAAAACAATGAATTTGTGTTTTTAAAATAAAAAATTTATATTTTTATAAAGCAGAGAACTTGTGTTTTTAAAGCACAAAATTTGTATTTTTAAAGTGAAGAATTTATGTTTTTAAAACAAAGAACTTATTTTTAAAGCAGAGAATTTATATTTATAAAACAGAGGGTTTGTGCAACCCTCTATACCATTGATATGACAAATTTCCTAATTTGAATCTGTTGACTTTAACAATTAATCTCAGTTCACAAAAGAGAGCGACATTTTTTTTTTTACAGATTTGTTCATTTCATATAAAAATACGAGTAAGTTTAATTTCATTAATTTTTGAGGTGCAAGGGGATAAACTGAATATTTAACGGTAATTATTTAGAAGAACTGCCTCACCTCCAATTTCAATAAAATTAAGTCCATTTGACAGAAACATTAATTATTGAATAAAAGTTGAAAAATTTAATTATGTGATCGTCCAAAAATTAGTTTCGATCTGTCATTGTCAGTGCTACCTGAGGACAATTACAAATCTATTTCAGAAAACGATAAGAGACTCGCCTGCCCCTGGTGTCGGATCCGTCACTGATATTATTAGGTGGCTGATTCTGTCCTGCTGATTCCATTTCGACCGATCTCAGCCTCTGGACGCGTGACCGGCGGGCGGCGCTCAGTAAAAATTCTATGCAGCTATTCTGTACAGCTAACTATCACACCGCGTTGTACGATGTCATACGATATATTCGCAACGAATTCATGAGTCATATCATCACACACTCACAATGGAGAGTTTAACCGAGGAAGAAGACGACACTCTTGCCGAATTGGCGATTTTCGTCGGACACAACACAAACAAAACTCACAACTCGGCAACTCTTGTCCTCACAGCTCGCACGATCCGTGCGATGATCTTGCTCAGGCTGCGTTCGGAAATACACCCAAGTAAAGTTGCCCCCATGGTTGCGTTCCAAACTTCAACTCTGGGTGCTTTCCAATTGCAATATCCCTAGACACTTTCGTGCACACTGCGACACAAATTGCATTCCAATTGCCCATTAAGCTGGAAACACAATAAAAAGCACAGGCAATAGGAACAGGAAATAAGAGATTTCAACTTATCAGAAACCATGAATAATAGAATGAACGTTTTCTGATAGATTGAAATCTTTTTTCTCCCTGTTCCTAGTGCTTTTCATTGTGTTTCCAGCCTTATCGTCGACATAACACTACATATTTATACTCAGCCATGGACTGTGTAGCATGTTTTTGAGTGATAATTACATGTTACTAACTGCGACAGTTATAAATTATAAAAGATTGGAGAAATTATAAAAGATTGAATGGCCGGCACTTTTAATTTTTTTTATTTAATACAAACGGAGAAAGCTACATTTAATCTAACTCTATCCGAAACAGATCTCAACCCGAAATTAGCACTGAATTCAAACAAAGTGTTTGTAAAAATGTATATAATAGATACATAAACTTAGTAATTATTTAGAATACCCCTCCCCCATCTCAAATCTTAATAAAAATACACTTATTCGACGTGTTTTCACTCAAAACAAGAATCTGCCAAAAAAACGCGGCAGTCGGCCTCATAAATCGAGTTATTAAACGTTAAAATTGGAGACTTTAGAGATTAAGATATCTGTCATCCCGATTCGATACAACTCTATGCATACGTTCTGAATTAATTACACAAATTTACTACTTTAAAAACACAAATTCATTGCTTTAAAAACACAAATGCACTGTTTTAAAAACATAAATTCACTGCTTTAAAAATACAAATTCACTGCTTTAAAAATACAAATTCTCTGCTTCATAAACACAATTCACTGCTAATACAAAGAATTTGTGTGCTTAAGGTAACATTCCATGCATTTTTTGTCGTACGACGAATTTTTCAAGTGTGTCAATTGGCTGCACGACAGAGAGGATCTCGAACCTCTTTGTTCTATAGCCAATCGACAGACTTGAAAAAATTGTCGTGCGACAAAAAACGGATGCATGTATCCAGCGAGAATGGATTAAAATGGATTGAAACTTTTTTCTATCTGAATGCGTATTTTAAATAGCAAATACTTTTTTTTATTTAATTGGATTCAATTGGATTAAATTAGATTCAATTGGATGCAATTAGATTGAAAAACTGCATTTCTTATTCAAAATTTTAAATTGAACAGTATTCAAAATGTATTGTTGTGTTTGTGCGTGTGTACAGAAAAAACTAATATTATTTTTAGATTGAAAGACATAGAGATTTGCTCCATACAATTTCTATAAATGAATAAAAATGCTTTCAAGATTGAAAAGCATTCATTTTAACATTCGCGAATCAATATTTCTGAAAATTTAAATCTATTTCAATTCATTTTAATTCATTCTCATTTGCTAGGTAATATTGGCCTAAAGTAATGAATTTTTGTTAATAAAGCAGTGAATTTGTGTTTTTAAAGCAATGAATTTGTGTTTTTAAAGCAGTAAATGTAGTTTTAAAGCAGTGAATTTGTGTAATTCATGCAGAACATCGCGCCATATTGAATTGGATGACAGATATCTTAACTTTTAAAGTTAAGAGTATTTCCAACTTTAATGCTTATTAACCTTAGAGTATATATACTGGAAGAGGAATTGCCTATGCCGCCTATAGATCAAAAGTGTCCAAAACCTGTGCGAGAAAGAAAGATATAAATTCCTAATCGTTTTCTATGCGCATGCGTGATGCATGCATTGAACTGAGCTTTAACATATTGTACAATAAAATTCTGATGTGAGTTGTGGCCTTGCCAACAGTTTATCTGAATATAAAGTTTGTTTATCTGAATATAAATTTTGCATTTTATTTTAAAAAATGCCCTGCGTTTATTGTGTTTTGTGCGGCAATCGTAATAAATCGGTTTATTATTGGGTCATCTAAAAAGTATCCGCGGTTTTTTGTCACTAGATGTGTGTTGATGTCATATATCTAGTGACAAAGTACCGCGGATACTTTTTAGATGACCCAATATTATGCGCAAGTATAAATGTAATATTTTGTGTCTATTTGTATTATGTAATGAAATGTAGCTCAGCAAACGAGAATGAATTAAAATGCATTAAATTTTTTTTAATGCGTACCTTAAATCCATGAAAATGGGTTTAATGGATTGAAATGGATTGGATTCGAGCTGACACTACTTTAATATTCAGAAAAAAAACATTCATATTTAAGGGTTACAAATTTTATTCCTAAGCCATTTATTATAATTATACCTGAAATTAACTATTTCAAATTGATATTAAAATGCACCCTTAGTTTAGGAGGATATTCGAACCTGAGATCTCTGAATTATGTATCTTCTACGTTATCCGCCACATCACTTCTTCAATTGATAAATATGTTATTCATTCTATTTCAATTACAACCAACTAAATTAGAAACGAAATTATATAAATATAATAAAAATATCATCATTTAACAGATATTTTAACGTTTATGAATCCATATTTTTGAAAATCCATTTTAATTTATTTCAATCCATTCTCGTTTGCTGGGAGGTTAAATTTTGTACTAAAAAATACGTACAATAATTTCTTGTCACTTATAAATTTAATTATTTTTGTTATTAACAGATTTTCAAAAGAAGAGGATATTTGCAAGCAGTCCAGCAAAGGAGAATTGATTGAAATGGATTAAAATGGATTCAGATTTTCAAAAATACGGATTCATAAATGTTAATATGAATCCTTTTCAATCCTGAATGCATTTTTATTCATTTATAGAAATTGCATAGAGCATATCTTTATGTCTTTCAATCTAAAAATAATATTAGCATTTTCTGTGCAACGTGAATACTACTCAATTCAATATTCTGAATATGAAATGCAGTTTTTCGATCTAATTGAATGAAACAAAATTTTATTCCATAAATGCTACTTTAATTATTCAAAATTATAAGTAATTTTTCGTTTTAATCCAATTAAGTTCAAAAAAGTTGTAATGTAAAAATAATTGAACTATGTTCTTTTGTTTCTCTCTGATTAGAAGTAAAATGTATGATCGATGTAAACACTTACAAACCAAGTCGAGCACAGCCCGAATATTAGGCTAATCGGCGCATGACATCGGCCAAGCGAGATTAGATTATCCGACACTTACCTAATGTTGTCTCATAGTAATGCAAATTATTTATATTTTATTATATCTGTTAAATTATGATATTTTTATTATTTTTATATAATTTTGTGCACTAGTTTAGCTGGTTGTAATTGAAGTAGAGAATGAACACATTTACCAATTGAAGAAGTGGTATAACGGATAACGTAGAAGACTCAGATCCAGAGATTCTAGGTTCGAATCCCTGGTGCATTTTTAAATATTTGAAGTAGTTAATTTCAGTTTGACGTAATAAATTTCAAGTATAATTATTATACATGTCTTAGGAATAAAATTTGTAACCCTTAAATATGAATGTTTTTTTTTTCCAAATAAACTAGTGTCAGCTCGGATCCAATCCATTTCAATTCATTCAATCCATTTTCATGGATTTAAAGTACACATTAAAAAAATTTTAATCCATTTTAATCCATTCTTATTTACTGGGAGTGGTTAGCTTTTTACGGAATAAACAAACACGTTTTAACACCGCCACTAAACTATATGCTAATCATTTTCGAGAAGAAGATATGATAAAGAATGATAAGCTTTCATATATAAAACCTGTGCCATTCATTTATGGAAAGGAAAAGAAAAGATCTCTACAGTTTGGTTCTTTTAATAATGAAATCTATTCTAAGAAAAAAAGGAATATGTTGCTACTGATAGTGTAAATGTTGATTGCAATATATTAATAAAAGGTAATAATGATTAATTACTGATATAAAGATTGGAATGTCTAGAATCCATTCTTCCTGGGCATTCCAAGAATGGATCTGGACACAGAGAAAACCCGCGAAACGTATAATTTTTATATAGAAAGCATCGTGGAAGCCTCTGAATATTAATTACTGATTTTATATTTGTTTGGGACAAATCACATATTTTATAGAAAAAGTAATTACATAATTGACGATTAATGACCTTCTAGATATTTCTGTGACAGTTAATGAATGTATACCGCAGAGTATTGAAAATGCTCAGTTAAACTGTCAAACATCTTCGGAAGCTGAACATCAACCTTGGTATCATTGAAATATCAGATTTAACTGCAAAAGCTAACACATTGTTAAAAGTAGTAAATGATGGTCTATTTACATCATCAAGAAATGAAGACGTTTATTGTTCAATTTTTCAAACACCTACAAAGGTTATCCAGGAACCTCCTTATATTGGTGATATTACAGCACAACATCTAAGTACACCGAGAAAAGCGCAAAGAATAAAGATAGCAAAAGATATTATCGCATGACAACGAAGAAAAATAAAATCTCTGCAGCAATGTCATAATAGATTAGTTACTCGCATCACGACATTAAAAAGTTTAGTAAAACATTTGAAACAGAAGAATTTACTTACAGAAGTAGCTGAACATTTAAAGATAAATGAGTCTAATTTAAAAACTTTGCTATTAATGAATACTTCAGATCTACCAAAAAATCTGTGCTCCAATGAAAAAATACTGCAAAATTACAACAGTCTTCCAATAGAACAAAGTGTTTTATCAAATTAAAGATGCTACTCACACGAGCAATATCTTTAAAACTCAGTTTCACAACTCATAGTTAATTCTTAATCGAGATTCAACTTATTTTTCATCTCTTTCCAATTCTAATATTATAGAAAGAGGAAACACTTTTCTTATATTTTTTTAAGATTTTTCAAGGTTTATTATAATAATATTATATAATATTATTATATAATAGCTAAGTAATAATAAATAATAGTTAATAATTTGTATACAATAAATTTG